GGGAAAAGATATAACATTCATAAAATTAAAGTAACACATTCGGGATGATGTCTTCATAGGGGATATTTTAAAGTAATTGACAGAACTGACAACAACAAGAGACAAGCTGTATTAACTAATAAAATGTTCCATGCATGTTTTCATATGCATTTTGTTATTTTCCTGTACAATGCTTATTAAATAATTTTAAAAGTCCTTGTAAATTTTGGCTTCTTTTCGTTCCTTATTAAGCATATAAAAACTCAAGATTACTGAGTTTATTAGTCAGGTTTACATTGACTATAATCTTTAGCCCTTAAAAGTTCTTTATGGTCTCTCTAGAGGGCAATGCTCTATGTATGATAAAAAGCATGGGATTTGAAGTCACACTGAGCTAAGTTGAGTTTCATACTTGGTCTATTGCCTGCCATCCATTCAGAAGTTATTTATTGGTGCTTATGTGTGGCAGACATTGTGTTAAGCTTGGTCATATTGTCCTGAAAATGTTCTCCTCTTAACTATAAATCATAATTCTTCTCAGTGGGTCAGTATGAGGATTAGTGAAATAGTGTTAAGTGCTTTGCATGTATAAGCACTCAACTAAGGTTAGCCCTTCCTATGTCCCTCCCTTGGCCACTAAATAATCATTTCTGTAATAGAAAATCACAGAGTGAAGTTAGCTCATCTTAGAATGCAGTGTAGTTCTACACTTATTTAGTGTAAACAGAAATATTGGATTCCACTTATTTTCGTACAAATTAAGCAATTTGTTTCCTGTTTGCATATATTTTAATAAACTTTTACTCTGGAGTTTGAAGACTACAAAATGCCCATCTCACACCACTCATTCAGTACTGGTTAGCCTTAGTAAAAACATATTTTGATGAATTTAATTTGAATTTATTTTATGTTGGCTGAAACCTCCCTAAATTCTTGTTCTCTGGGCAGGTACTTTTCTAGAACCCTGTGTTTGAGGATAGTCTTTCATAAATTCATTGAATCACCTTAAATAGGAGGGGAGGAGAGATATAAGGCAGAAGGATATTTTTTCTTTGAAAATTCATCTTCACCTTGTGAGCTATTGGGAAATGTCCAAAGAGCCCCGTAGTCATATGATCTCATGCACAAAAATCAAATTAAGTCAAACATGTAAATAAGAAAACCATAACTTCAAAATCTTTAGAAAGAAATAGGGAAGCTCAAGTTAAGCTACATGGCAAAATTTATGACTCTGATGATGGAGGAGGAGAGAACAGCAAGACAAATTATGAAATTACAGTAGAAGTATAGATTGGTGTGACCACCTTGGAGAACAGTGCATTACCTAATAAATGTTAAGGTTTGTGGTCCATCTAATGAAAAATTCCAGTTTAAAGAAATGTGTTTGCAAAATTTGGGGTGACAGAATCACAAGGTAGATGAAGCAGATGCTGGGGAATGACCCAGTGTGTGCTGTGCCCCTACACCTAATCTGCTGGGACAAGGAGGGAGCAGATCCGGAAAGAGAAACTGTAATCAGACTGCAGTGCTCGGAAGAGTAGAAAACATGATGCTACTATGTCTCCAAACCTCTCACCACCACCACCCTGCCACCAAGAGCACAGTGAGGTCCCAGAACACATGAACCCCAAACTAGAGCTGACCTGATTTTAGTGCACATAAACATACTCAGACTGAGGCTGTGGGGCGCTCAGAAAGACAGCTTGAGCCTGGAAGATGAGAATATCAAGCTGCAAAGGTACATACAAGGGCTGGTGTGGCCGCTTTGGAATCTCAGACACTGAAATGCAAAGGAGACAGTGCAACCATGCAGCACACTCAGAAGACGGTGACTGGCAGAGTGGACATTGTCCTGTGGGGGGATCCCATACTGATCACTATGAAATTCCTATGGGAAGGCTGAGTTCTACAGAATTGTGTGCAAAAATATAACAGGGAAGACAGATTGGTCAAACACCGAGGTCCACAGAAGTACTACTTATTGTCCAGATTAGTCTAATCAGTTTGAACTTGAGACATAAATTGCTATTCCCCCACCATCAGAAAAGAGAGATGTCAGGAAGAAAAGGATCTTAAAGGAATTATATGAGAAGTGAACAACAAAAGAAATTACAGAAATTACAATACAATGCAAATATATAGAGACTGGATAATGTACTCTTGAATGACCAGTAGGTCATTAAAGAAAACAGACAAGAAACTTTAAAATTCCTAGAATCACAGGAAAATAAAAACAGCTTACCAGAACATTGGATGCAAGAACAGACAGTTTTAAAAGAGAAGTTCATACCCATAATAGCCCAATGGTTACTATAGGAGGTTTGGAAACACAAGATAAAGTAAACCAAAAATTAGTAGAAGGAAAGAGTAAAAGATAAAGGCTAAAGTTAATGAAATGGAGACAAAAAAGAACACTACAAAGAATCAGTGAAACAAAGAGTTGGTTCTTTGAAAAGATAAGCAAAATTAGCAAATGCTTAACCAAAGTAACAGAAAAACAGAGATACAGAGACAGCAAGAGAGTCTCAGAGAGAAACAGGAGGAGGACATCACAATAGATACTAATAAAAATCACAGGCTCACAAAGAGATATTTAAAAACCTTTATTTCAATATACTAGAAAATCAAGCCAAAAAGATAAATTTCTTAGACACACATGACCTTCCAAAATTAAACCATGAGTTTATAACTCATAGCAAAGAACAAGACTGAAGCAATGATAATCTAACTAAAAAGGCTCAGAACTGGAAGGCCTCATTGCTGAATCCTACCAGATAGTTGAGGATGAACTAACACTAATTTTGTTCATATGTCATAAAATATAAAGGAAAAGAAGTCTGAGAACACTACAAATGTCTTTTTACACAACCAGTATTATCCTGATACTCAAAGTAGGTAAAGATACGTTAACAACAATAAACCAGTATCCCTAATGAATCTGGATGAAAAGTCAGTAAAATACTTGCAGGCCTAATTCAACACTCATTAAAAAAAATCATACACCTTGACCAAGTTGGATTAAATACAGGGGTGTAAGGGAGGTTTGACAGAACAATAAATAGATTGAGGGAAAGAAATAATATGAACAGATCAGCAGAAAAATACAAGATCACTGACAAAATTCATCAACTCTTCCTAATAAAAGCCCTGAAGAAACTAGGAATAGAATAAGAATACTCGAACATAATAAAAGTAACACATGACAAAGTTTTATCCAACATTACATTAAAGAGGGGGAAACTGAAAGCTAATCTGAAATGCAGACAAAGCTGTCTACTCTTCCCATTTTTTTTTTCGATGTAGTACTTGAAGCCTTAGCCAGAACAGTAAGGCAAGAGAAAGAAATAAAAAAGGAGCCAAATAGAAAAGGAAGAAATCAAATTATCCCCATATTCAGATGATCTGATGCTATGCTTAAAAGACCCCAGAAACTCAAAAACTCTTAGATTTGGTAAACACTATCAGTAACACAGCAGTGTATAAACTCAATGTAAAAAATCACTAGCTTTTTCTATAACATTAAGAAACATACAGAGAAAAAAAATCAAGAAAGCAATACCATTCATCATGGCTTCAAGTTAAAAATAAAATTATGCCATTTGCATGAAAATAGATGAAACTGGAGATCATCATATTAATCAAAACAAGCCAGAGCCAGAAAGAGAAATATCTCATGCTTGCTTTATAGAA